TATTTATTTTTTTTACTTAATTCAAAACGAATAAATCGGCAATTAAAACTTCAATATTCCTGGGCTGTACTCTTAAATTACTTTGACTGGCTCTATTCTCTTAATTCTCTTAAATATGGTTATTTTATTCTGAAATGAGTTTCTATACAATCATATACCGCTTCCCTTTACACATTACCGTAAATTTTGAAAAACCCGCTCTTGTTTGTAATATAAAATGGCTCTGACCAGGCTCTCTTCTTTAGGGTTTGTAGTTTGAACGAATCTCGAAAACCTTCGTTTTTGAAGTAGTTTGAAAAAATCTGAGGGATACGTTTCGTTTTGTTTTTGAAGTACATAATTTGAAAAAATTTCAGAGATCTTGCCTTGTTTTTGAAGGAGTTTAAAAAAATCTCGGAGATGTTTCTGTGTGTTGTTTTTGAAGTCATTTGAAAGAATCTCGGGGACCCCTAGTTTGTAATTTTGAAGTAGTTTGAAAGAATCTTGGGGACCCCTGGTGTCTGGTTTTTGAAGTAGTTTGAAAGAATCTCGGGAATCCCTTTTGTTTTGATTTTGAAGTAGTCTGAAAGAATCTCGGGAGTCACTTTTGTTTTGTTTTTGAAGTAGAATCTCGGGGACATTTTGTGTCTGGTTTTCGAAGTAGTTTGATAAAATCTTGGGGAACTTTTGTGTATGGTTTTTGAAGTAGTTTGAAAAAATCTCGGGGATCACTTCTGTTTTGTTTTTAAAGTAGTTCGAAAGAATCTCGGGGAGTCCTTTTGTTAGATTTTGAAGCAGTTTGAAAGAATCTCGGGGGTCACTTTTGTTTAGATTTTGAAGTAGTTTGAAAGAATCTCGGCGTCCCCTTTTGTTTTGATTTTAAAGTAGTTTGAAAGCATCTCTGTGTCTCCTTTTGCTTTGATTTTGAAGTAGTTTGAAAAAATCTCCGGGTACCTTTTTGCTTTGATTTTGAAGAAGTTTGAAAGAATCTCGGGGACAATCTGTGTCGGGTTTTTGAAGTACTTTGAAAGAATCTCGAGGATTTCTTGTATCTGATTTTTGAAGTAGTTTGAAAGAATTTCGGGGACCCCTTTTGTTTAGAATTTGAAGTAGTTTGAAAGAATCTCTGGTGCCGCTTTTGTTTTGTTTTTGAAGTAGAATCTGGAGAATCTTTTGTCTCTGGTTTTTAAAGTAGTTTGATAAATGTTGGAGAACTTTTGTGTCTGGTTTTTGAAGTAGTTTGAAAAAATCTCAGGGACCACTTTTGTTTTGTTTTTGAAGTAGGTAGTTCTAAAGAATCTCAGGGACCCTTTTTGTTAGATTTTGAAGTTGTTTGATAGAATCTCGGGGATCTTTTGTCAGGTTTTTGAAGTACTTTGAAAGAATCTCGGGAGTCACTTTTGTTTTGTTTTTGAAGTAGTTGGAATGAATCTCGGGGACCCCTTTTGTTTAGGTTTTAAAGTAGTTTAATAAAATCTTGCGAAACTTTTGTATCTGGTTTTTGAAGTAGTTTGAAAAAATCTCTAGGATCACTTTTGTTTTGTTTTTAAAGTAGTTCGAAAGAATCTCGGGGAGTCCTTTTGTTAGATTTTGAAGCAGTTTGAAAGAATTTCGGGGGTCACTTTTGTTTAGATTTCGAAGTAGTTTGATAAAATCTTGAGAACTTTTGTGTCTGTTTTTTGAAGTACATAGTTTGAAAAAATCTCGGGGACGACTTTTGTTAGATTTTGAAGTTGTTTGATAGAATCTCGGGGATCTTTTGTCTGGTTTTTGAAGTAGTTTGAAAGAATCTCGGGAGTCACTTTTGTTTTGTTTTTGAAGTAGTTGGAAAGAATCTCGGGGACCCCTTTTGTTTAGATTTTGAAGTAGTTTGAAAAAATCTCGGGGGTTACTTCTGTTTTATTTTTGAAGTAGAATCTCGGGGGTCTTTAGTGTCTGGTTTTCGAAGTAGTTTGATAAAATTTTGAGGAACTTTTGTGTCTGCTTTTTGAAGTAGTTTGAAAAAAATCTCGGTGACTACTTTTGATTTGTTTTTGAAGTATGTAGTTCTAAAGAATCTCGGGGATCTGTTGTGTCTGGTTTTTGAAGTAGTTTGAAAGAATCTCGGGGGTCACTTCTGTTTTATTTTTGAAGTAGTTTAAAAGAATCTCGGGGACCCCTTTTTTTTAGATTTTGAAGTAGTTTAATAAAATCTTGCAGAACTTTTGTGTCTGGTTTTTGCAGTAGTTTGAAAAAATCTCGGGGACCACTTTTGTTTTGTTTTTGAAGTGGTTCGAAAGAATGTCGGGGACTCCTTTCGTTAGATTTTGAAGTAGTTTGAAATATCATGAGATGGTTAAATACTAACCAAAATTTAGCTAATTATCCCTACCAACAATTTGATGACGTCATCTCCAAAATTTATAATTAAAAGTGTTTCTAATTTTATAAGACAAGATACTCTTGTACTTGTGGTATGTGAATCCGTGTCGAATTTTCACCCTAGACATCCAGAATTAAAAAAAAAATAAAACTGAATACACTAATTGCCATATAACTGTGTTTACTCCCTCTCTATTTTATCAGAGGGCATAGCATTTGCCAAAATCAGTCTTATCTTAGCAAGTACTAGCCCCGCCCACCCGCCCCTATTTTCTCAGAGGATATGTGATTTGCCAAAATTTGTCTTATCTGAGCAAGTACTAGCCCCGCCCACTCGCCCCTATTTTCTCACTGGATATGTGATTTGCCAAAATCTGTCTTATCTGAGTAAGTACTTGTAAAATAATGTGATGCAATCTTTTGGTTCCATTTAGAATTTCTTTCTTCATTTTACATAATTCTGGATCTGTTCTTGTTTCTTTTTCAATTTCATAAGCTGACTGTTTCCGTACTAATCTGTTTAATTAAAATCGTATTTAACACGTATTCGTCATCAGTTTTTTTCTTCTTCTTTTGGTGATAATTTCAATGGACTTCTGAAGAAATAATCAACATTTACATGTTCACTGGATTTTCGACATTCGATGGAATAACTGAAACCGGATAAAAATTGTGCATATCTAATTCTAAAATTGTTCAGCTAAAACATTTTTCTTCGGTGCCAGATGATTTCTTAGAAGACCCATTAATTCTTGGTAGGTTTTTGTAACTGGTAGTTTAATTTATCAATACCATAACTTTGGCATCACTGGTTTCTTTGTCGTTTTTTGCAAACCTCTTAATCTGAAAAAAAAATCGAGTCTTTGACTGTAACTCTCAAAATTTTCAACGCTTTCATCAAATCCGTCAAAAGTTGTAGCTTGGGTCTGCAAAACTTCTTGTACCCTCTAAGAAAATAAAGGGTGGGTGGGCGGGGCTTGTACCTGCCAAAATAAGACTGGTTTTGGGAAAAAATAAACGTAGCAAAAGAACCAATTTGAAAATCATTATAACTCCACCAAAATGTGAGAAGAATTTTTTTTACTATTTTTCTCAGACTCACCAGTTCATTGTTAAGCGCATAACAGAGAGTTAATCCGCCATTTTCCATACACCCGGTATAATGTACCCACTTAATTAAAATTGTTGATACGGATTATTAAACTAAAACTTAATTATTACTTATAAAAATGTGAATTTACCTATGCTTATTAAATACCGAAATAATAATTGTTTACTTCAGTGCTTTGAATCGTACTTATTGGAATGGAAAATACATAGTGTGAAATTACTGGCAACAGTGTTACAGTTTTACATTAAAAACAACTTTTCATTTTTTATTAAGGATCTAAAACAAGAAAAGGTAATCGACGCCTCTATTCCTACACCACCGAAAACACACAAAGTAATTAATCCGTTTTCACCTAATTCCGGGTAATTTTGCTGAAAGCTGCACTGTTTTCTTATTTAGCAGACGTAACAATTAGTCCCGTTGTCGTGTGTTGACACCAACTCATGTTATTAATTACCCACTACATCCCGCCAAAATTATTAATTATTAAGTGGTACATCACATTCGAACCACTTCCCTCCATAAAAACGCGCTTACCCTTTAATGACCACCCCGCAATTACTGTCGATTTAACCGTGCCCCAAATCCGTTTCCGTGCCCAAACAAAACCAACAAACCTTAAACACAAAACACTTGTTATCTCCCGCACCACATCTTCTACCTGCCACCCCAAAATAAAATAAAGTCATTCCACCCACCCCTCCGACCCATCGCCCACAAGCCAGATCGATTCATTCGCAATTCACATCAGCCACGTCCGTAAAAACAGAGCCCTCGATGACCAGCGCGATAAAATCCGCAGGTAAAAAACGCCGACCCAACTTTCGTTTTTTCCCCCCGCAACGCATTTTTCGCCCTGACCGCTCAAGTCATCAACCCTTGGGGTAGGCCAGGTACGCGGTCGATGAACTCCGGCGGAAAAAATCGCAGGTGCCGGTGATGGCGGGCGGGGGCGGCATGTGGGACACAGACGGGACGGCGGATGCGGTGGTTAATAATAACTAATTTTATTTTTTCTATGACTGTTGTTTTAGAGCTTTATTTTTAGAAGAAATCGATTATTATTATATACAACGAATGCGCAAAATTTGGACCTGACAATGTTATAGTAGATCTACGATCCGAAGAACGTACTTATAGTTGACTCAAAAATTTTGGCAAGATAACAGAGAAACATCAAAACATCAAAATAAATCACCACTAGATCTCAAATTTTGATCAAATCAGCCCGAAAACCAAATATTCCTTCTATATATAGCACGCCAATGCAGCGTTAATTTAATCCGCGCTGTTATTACTCAATCCAGGACCGGGCTGGCCGCCGCGTCCGGGGGTGCACCGATCTTCGCCCCTCCTCCGCCATGTGACAAAAGTCATGTCGACGTAATCAAGGCAGCGCATTAACTCGCAAGAATAAACAATCGCCGGCACCAAGTGGAAGTAGAATCCGGCGACCAATGCCCGCTTGACGGGACAGTCGGAGGCGGGCGCTGTGGCCGCCTGCGATCCTACTACTTTTCGTTAAGCACTATCGTCTTAGTAGTTGGCGTCGACGCACATCTTTTGTTTGCGACGGTCGCGCGCACCTCGAGCTTCGCGTGTGTGACACGGTTTTTGGTGTGTGAAGTGACATGTGCGACGCGATTGGATGACACTTTCGGTAAGTGTGGCGCGCCCTAGGCTATCGACTCAGTGCACAGTGGCGGATCCGGGAACACGGGGGCAAACAGGAGTGATAAGTGGCTGAATTTGTTGTAACGGTTGTGGGTACTGTGAAGTATTAAAGGGCAATTAAGAGAGAAAGAAAACGACCTAGTAAAGTAGAGACTAATTTAGGTCTAACGTTGAAAAAATTTGTCTCTTCTGTGATTAATGATATGGCGGAAGTGCGTCTAAAATCATGCCCAGTATAACTCTTTGGGTTATATAATTTCTACAAACGTTAATCTTAACGTCGGCTAAGTCAGAACTACTAACTGTATTTCTTCAATAAAAGGATTCCATAGCGCCCCCGCTGGTGCTGGGTTCATTATTGGTTTCCCACATGTAAGATATTATACATAGCATTGCAAACGTCCCACGGAGAAATTACAAGAAACTTTATCAAGCAAACTATATTTCAATTAAATAGAGACGCCTTATCGGCGAATAACTTGACTACACTTATTTACTGACACAATATGACAAAATCGAAGTGTTTTCGGTGATAAATTTTTAAAAAAGTGGTTCTTAAATGAATTATCAAATACAAGATTTAGCTATCTCGAGCGACGTTTATTAGTGATATTAAATGCAAAAAATTACACTATAAGGATTTATATTCTGACGAATGACACTGATTATAGTGAAAATACTTTAGAAATATCTTTTAAACAAAAGTTTTGTCTTCATATTATTGAAACAGAGGTTATTAGCCAGAAATAAGGTGCTGGATTTTCGGCAAACACAATAAATACAAATTTGAGAGGTCATTTACGTAATTTAAAAATAATGTAGGTCCCAGCACAAAACCCTTGAGATTAGTGAACTTAAAAGTATTAAGCAAAATGTATCTTTAATTCATCATAGTCTACTCCATAACGTCGGGAGTACCTCAGGGATGAATATTAGGCCCTTTATTTATGAAAATATATACAAATAAAAGTTCTGCAAACATACAATTTTTACGATTTACAGTATTTTCAAAGTCTAGATTGTTTCGCTGTTCATTAGTTTTTGCTCAAACGACAAATCATAGCCACCTCGACGCCGTAAATATTTTCATTATTGTTATTATATTATACACATTGTTAATTACCGTCGCTTCTCTCACTCACTGTTGCTTTATTATAAATAAAATATCTGACATATTTCGTCAATACCGTCACTGAAATCGCAATATCTTTTTCTTTCCCTTAATTACATTTTTCGAATTTATCGCGTCACGTAAAAAATTATACCTAGACAAAAAAGGGACCTCAGATCGCAAAGCAAACAACTTTAGCCTTGTGCATACGATACAATCAAGCCGCCCGGTTTAATGTCCACTCGACTCCGCCAATCATTCCGCGCGTCGCTAATGACGTCATTAAGCGTCAATTATCGCCCCAGGCGATGCGATTCCACTGTATCGGACCTACATAAATCCCCCGTCTTCATCACCGTGCGTGTAATTTATTATTGTTTCACCATAGAAGGATTTATTAGCATCTAAATGGAATTATGTATGTCAGTGCTTTAAATAAATATGTAAGTTCGCCTAACGATTATGAGCACGGAAATTGCGATCGAAACGAGCGATAGCGCCGCCACTGATAATTCCATACAATTGTAAACGTAATTTTTCGTAACTAATTCCCCCCAATTAATTCCCGGCCGCATCTCTAACGAGGGAATAATTTAATTAAGACGCGGTGCACCGAGCTCGAATCCAAATATTCGGGCGGTGATCAAATTTGATGGCCGCTTTTGGGACAGTCCGGACTTTGTTCGGAAATCAAAATTTTCAATACCGTTAAGCACATGTTTCTTGCGGAGGACACGTTTGTTATTTAATTTAATTTTTTGAGTAAACCATCAAAGAACAAATTTTATTTTTACCATAAAACTAATCCTCTTCATTTGAAGCACTCACATCTCTAATTCTCCAATTACATCTACCATCTACAAACGAATTAACACTCATTTAACCCATGCCGGGAGCCATCGCAAATGTATGCAGCGAAAACGCTTAGTAATTCCGGAGATCGGCGATAAAACAACAAAATTTGAGCAGTAAATTCAATCACTGGATTCGTTTTTTTTTTCACGGGTGGAGTGTCATCCGTATGTGTACATAAAGCACGAAATTCCCAACAATCCGAACAAATAAGCGAATGATGGAGCGATTTGTTTAATAGCCGCTTCCGAAGCTTTAAAAAGAAAAAACTCTCACGCATGCCGAAATTACACACAGCACAGAACGGTTTAGATTGATAAAGAGGAAACAAAATAATAACATCAAAGACACTCGAAATATGTAAAGTTACATTGTTTCCGACACGCCATAATTACACGGGGGCTCCCTTGGTCTTAGATATTCGGAGATATAGTTATTTTTTTGTTTCGCGTGGTGGTGACTAGGTTTGTAGTTGTTTGCGGAGTTTTTTTAATTCAATCTATTTGGGTGGCAATTTTTCGCCCCGAGAAGGTTCCACATTCTAAAAAAAACATAGATTTGGGGCTCTGGCGATGGTTTTACATTTTTAAAAAAGACAATTGGGACTCCAGAGGTTTCACATTAAAAAAAAATTGTGGCTCCCGAAAAGGTTTTACATTTAAAAAAAGACAGTTGGGACCCCCGAGGTTTTAATTTTTAAAATTTGAAAAGCTAATGTACTGAAATATTGCAAACGTTTTAAGATTACAGTTTTTGATAAGATAATACTAATTTTCGCACTTTTGACATTTCCGACTATTTTTCAATTTCCGAAAATTAGCGAGAAAAGTGAGAAACATTTTTCGTAATTTTCAAAATTTTTTTGTTTGAAACAGTTAAAAGAGGATTTGACTCGGCGGAAAATAGTTGGCTTATAGATAATTTTTCGCGGATTATGAATCTAAAATGTTTTTGACAATTTGTCTTCAAATAACTGAGAACTGCAGGGAAAATGTTCAAAAAAAATCCCCAAAGTTTCCAAAAAAAATTGAAATCGTTCCAAATGGCTTTGAGAGGAAAACGTTGAGTTTCTAGTTTAATAGGGTATTAATCGCAAATTTATCTTATGAAATCCTAGCCCCGCCCACCCACCCTCTATTTTCTTACAAGACATGTGATTTGCCAAAATCCGTCTTACCTCAGCAAATACTAGCCCCACCCACCCACCCGCCCTCTACTTTCTTGGAAGGTATTCGATTTGCCAATTTCAGTCTTATCTTAAGTACTCTATTCTATATTGAAATGGCTAAATAAATTATTAAATAATAATTAAATAGTACTTGCTAAGATAAAACTGATTTTGGCATATCACATACCTTCCAAGAAAATAGAGGGTGGGTGGGCGGGGCTAGTATTTGATAAGATATTACTAATTTTCGCACTTTTGACATTTCCGACTATTTTTCAACTATTTCCGAAAATTAGCGAGAAAAGTGAGAAACATTTTTCGTAATTTCCAAAATTTTTTTCTTTGAAACATTTAAAACACGATCTGACTCAACGGAAAATAGTTGGCTTATAGATAATATTTCGCAAATTACGAATCTAAAATATTTTTGACAATTTGTCTTCAAATAACTGAGAACTGTGGAGAAAATTAAAAAAAAAATCCAGCGGAAGTGGAGAGAGAAGACAAATTTTCTCTAACGACAGCTGTTTTTATTGATATTGTACATAGGTGGTTCCAGTTGATTAGTTCTAGATCAACTATTTTGGCCTTGAGCAAGTTTAATATGGCTGTCTATAGGGAAACTATAGAATTCGTTCAACAGTTCATTAAGTTATTTTTAAACTTAAAAGTCGCTTCTGACAAATTTGAAAAAGCAGTTGGAAGCCTATTCAAACAGGTGTTATACTGACTACAACATCAATTTTAGACCTGAAAACTTGTTTTTGAACGAAAAAAAAAACTCATATTTATTAACATCGAGCTTTTCTCAAGATTGTTTAGAAAATGTATTTTCCCAAATCCGGTTCCTACGGCCATTCAGTTTAAATATAACTTAAAACTTTTATCAGTTTCTCAATATTTGGACGTTTCAAATAACTCAAGTTACGAAACCGACAAAACAACACTTTTAGTTGGTTTTTTTGAGTTATATTAAAAATAATAACAGAAAAGAAATGATGTTGCTAAAGGAAAAGAAAATTTAGCTTTACCTAGAAATTGGAATTTGAAGAAAAAAGAACTTTCTTTGAGAGAAAAAATGCTTTGTACAGTTGCGCAGGTTACGTTGTTAAAAGCTTGATAAAAAATCAAAATTTTTGCAAAAATGTATTGTTGCTTTGGTCTCTAAGAAGAATTGTAATGAAAATTATGCAAAATTTGTGGCATTAAATACATTTGGGACCTCCGAGAAGGTTTTACATTTTTGAAAAAGACAAATGGGAACCCCGAGAAAATTTCACATTCTAAAAAAAATACATTTGAGACCCCCGAGAAGGTTTTACATTTTCTAAAAAAGCAATTGGGACCCCCGAGAAGGTTTCACATTTAAAAAAAACATTGGGGCCTCCCCGAGAAGGTTTTATTTGTTTAAAAAAGACAACTGGGAGCCCCGAGAAGGTTTCACATTCTAAAAAAAAAAAAACATTAGAGGCCCCCGAGAAGGTTTTACATTTTTAAGAAAGACAATTGGGACCCTCGAGAAGGTTTTACATTAAAAACAAGACATTTGGCGCCCCCGAGAAGGTTTAATAAGTATTTTTAAAAAAGACAGTTAGGATCCCGAGAAGGTTTGACTTAAAAAAAAGACGTTTGGGGATCCCGAGGTTTTACATTTTTAAAAAAGACAATTGGGTGCCCCGAGAAGGTTCCACATTCTAAAAAAAAATAGATTTGGGGCTCTCGCGATGGTTTTACATTTTTAAAAAAGACAATTTGGACTGCAGAGGTTTCACATTAAAAAAAATTGTGGCTCCCGAAAAGGTTTTAAATTTAAAAAAAGACAGTTGGGACCCCCGAGGTTTTAATTTTTAAAATT